TTTATCCGGGATGCGGATACGTTCATGAAGAACATAGATTCCATCAAAGGTTGCAGAATAGATGAGAACCACTTCGACTTAGAAAAATATAGCACATTTTATTGCAAACAAGATGTAAGAATTTTAAGAGAAGGTTTTGTTAAGTTCCGCAATGACATATTGAAAGAGTTTGATTTAAACGTTTATGACTACGTTAGTATTTGTTCTATTGCTAACAAATTGTTTGAGAACAGAGTGTACTTCCCGAATGGAAATCTTTATGACCTCTCAAATAAACCAAGAGAATTTATTTCACGCTGTATTCAAGGTGGAAGATGTATGCTGTCAGATAACATTAAACAAAAGAGCGAAAAGAAACTCATTGCTGATTTCGACGCTGTTTCATTATATCCATCAGCTATAGCAAGATTGTATACTTTAGAAGGAATTCCAAAAGTATTGAAGGATGAGATGTTAAGCACAGAGTATTTGTTAAAGCATTTATTCGATGACGACCAAAAGGAACCCATTGGTGAAAAGTTTATGTCTGGCTTCTTTGTTCTCATTAAGATAACAGAGATTGGTATACCCAGACACTTTCCTTTAATAGTTTGTGACCCTGAACTAAATCCAGAACTTAACGTTCCCAGAAGTTCAAACACTTGCTGTTTAATGTATGTTGACCATATAACATTACAAGACCTCATAAAATATCAAGGTGTCAAATGTGAAGTGTTGCAAGGATACTATTACGATGGAAACAGAGATATTAGAATAAGAGATGAAGTAAAGAAGTTGTTTGAGTTAAGGTTAAAGTATAAGAAAGAAGGAAATCCTTTGCAAGAAAATATAAAGCTCATTCTGAACAGCATTTATGGCAAAACTATTCTATCTCCTATTGAGTCAAAAATAACCATAGTAAATGACAAAGATGCTATAAGATATGCCATCAGAAACTACAACCATATAGTGAAGTTCGAAGGTTTGGATGGTTCAGATAAAACTATTTTCAAGCTAACGAAAAGCATTTGCAGACACTTTAACTTCTGTCCACTTGGTGTTAATATTCTATCTATGTCGAAGAGAATAATGTGTGAAGTATTCTGTACTGCTGAAGATATGGGTCTTCAAATATTTTACCAGGACTGCGATAGCATGCATATTTTCAATGAAGACATACCAAAGCTTGCAGCAGAGTTTAAGAAGAGATACGGTCGCGAACTTATAGGAAAGAACCTTGGTCAATTTCATTCTGACTTCGCAGAAATAACACCTGGAAAACAAAGTTTAGCATACAAGTCAATATTTTTGTGGAAAGAAGACCTACATAGACTTACTCACTAACGATTTAAATGAAGTTGCATTCCATGCACGTTGCAAAGGTGTCAAACAAGACGTCCTTGCTTTAACAGCAAATGAAATGTTTCCTGAAGCTATACAATGCTATTACAATGAAGATAAGAACATTCACATACCTGTTGGAACATATGACAAAGACTCTGAGTTCAGTTTAATGAAACTTTACAAAGCACTTCATGATGGTCAAGAGATTGGATTTGACTTATGTAAGTCATGTCAACCTTGCTTTGAAGAGAAGTTTAACTTCTCAATAACGACTAAAACAAGCTTTATTCGTAAGTTGAAGTTCTGAGGTCATTTATTTTTGTCAGCAATGAGGTCATGAATGAGGTCATTTATTTTTGTCAGCAATGAGGTCATTCGTGATAAAAATAAGCCGCTAGCGGCAAGGGCGAAGCCCATGTGGTCATTTACAATACTGCGATGGTAGAGTTTAAGAGTTGTGCTTCAATGTAGAGACAGTCCTTATGGTCTGGAGGTAAGAACACTGGGCAGTTATGGTCATGAGTGGAGAACATGTCTATCCAAAACTCACGATTGAAGCCAGTTAATTTATAGTATTTAGGGTTAGGAAGTGGTGTAGTTCTTGTATGACCAATGAACTCATTTTCAACTCCCTTACTTAAGTTTGAATATAATATAGCTTGCTTTCTATCCCAAATGCCAGGTGTTACAATCTTTGAAAATTCATTTTTCCTCGGAAGCATTGCATCATAATTGAAAACATTCTTGAAATCATCACTTGGTTCAGAGATTTGAAATCTTATACGTAATGGATTTTTTTCTCTTTAGCGACTTCATTGAATGGTGAGAATACAATGAATTGACAGTCATGAGTTCCATCTTCATTTTCATTAAATTCATAATGAAAGTCTATAAGTTGTGGCTGACTACCTTCTTCTTTCAGTTGTGCAAGAAACTCACGCAAAGGCTGTAAAGTTTGTACTTCAATGTTGAACTTTTTCTCGAACATCTCATTAAATGAAATCATACATTGCAACAATGTTGTATCGTCTTTAAAGTATTTGTATATGTGAATGTTTTGGGCGCTTAAAGACTGTTCGTCATTTTCTATCTCGACTTGAAGTATAAAGTCAACCTTTCTGAAAGCACGTGTTATATACATAGATGTTATGCCAATGTACTTCTCTTCATTTATGTTCACAATCCAGTCTGTTGGAAACTTAAACGTTACTCTGTTCCCCTTTATTTTGACGTCAGGGTTTTCACTACTGAACGCAACAGATAAAGGTATTTGTCTATACATTTAGTTCCAATAAAAATAAACCATTTACTCTTTCTTTGCTTCAGCTTCTTTAGCTTTTGCTTCAGCTTCTTCTCTAGCTTTCTTCGCCAGCAAACGTGGGTTCTTTTGTCTTCCAGCAGCTAATGCAGCAAGTTGTTTTTCACTAAGTTTTCTCTTTGGTCTCTCTGGCTTTTGTTCTTGTTTTTGTTCCTTCAGTTCGGATAAAATTTGCTCACGAATTTCTTTCTTCAATGCTTCAACATCTATGACCCCTTGGGTCTTGTCCGTAGGGCTTGTCTGAGTCATTTGACTGCAGATAAAAAACAAAATTAAAACTTTAACCGATGTAAAATGAGCTTGTCAAAATCAGAGCGAGAGTCTATTATATTAAATGACGCAAGAGGAATACAACATCCTTTCTATTACGTAAGTCAGAGTAAAGATGGTAAAATATACGTAAGAAAAAGAAAGGTTCCATTAGCGAATGCAGAAAGCGACAACATTAAGGTGCATGGCAAGGGTGAAGTCCACGAAGCCCATATAAAACCTTCTGTTCAAACTGAAAAGTCAATAGAACCAGAAGAAAAGAAGCCAGATGTACTTTCAATAACGAACCAAGAGCTTATTGCAAAGTTCGTGAATTTCATTGAAAAACAAACCGAGTCAAAGAACCCTGACCCACCAGTGAAAGAAGTTGAGACAAAAGAGAATGTACAGTTCATTGAAAATGTCAAGAAACAACTTCCACCACGAATGCCAAGAAGAAGAGTGAGAATAATGAAGTAAATAGATATTTTTATCTGAAGTAAATACATGCAGAACGAACAGCTAAACGAATTTACTCCAGCAGAGCATATTCATCAGATTCGCTCATATTTCGATATCATAGACAATGCAGTTCAAATTGGTGACACTAATAGAAAATATTCTGACGCAAAGATTCCATCACAACCTGGAACTGCTAAAGATAACACATGGGTAACATTCAATCTCTCACCTCCTGGTGAAAATATGTTGGACCTTTACAATACATTCATTACGTATAAAATGGAAGGTCAATTTATTGTAGATAAAGAAATTGGTTCAGGTTCCAATAAAACAAACCCACCAGGATTTTGGATTGGTTTCGATGACGCTTTTCTATGCAGTTGCTGGATATCAAATCCTTGCAAATGGTCGTATCGTATATTCTCAAGACAACGCAAGAGAAGAAGCATATATAACTTCAAACTCACAAACTACCGAACAAATAAAGAAAGTAGATGTTTTCTCAAAGACTCGACATGAAGATGTATGGAGTCATTCGGGAACATGCAGAACAGGACAAATTGTTAGTGGTCCAATTACAGCAGGAAAATCATTTGATTTTAAGCTTCGTTTAAGAATTCCTGTTAGAAGATTCCTTCCATTAGAAGCTATTCGATTTATTCCAGCTTTTGCAGGAAACATTCAGCTTAAAGTAAAGTTCAGTAGCGACGCCTTACAATGCACATCTATATCTGTAAATGATATCATTGCTTTCAATCCAACTCTTAAAGTTGCATTTGCTTCAGATTCAAATCCACCGACAAATAAATTTGTTCCATGGAATGAACCATTCACTATGATAACGAAGGCAGTAGAAGCTAGTGGAACAGTTACTATTACAACTGTAACCCAGCAACTATTTCGAACAAAGATGGATTTTAATGAATGTTTCATTCATCCAAAGTCATTTTCTTTAGACCCTAACATTTATACAGAACTTGTAGAACATTATACAAACGAGGCTTTATGTTTTCCTGTTAAAGTTATGGATTGGATTCCTATGGACGGTTCATTCTCAAGAATACAGATAGTTCAAGTGCAACATTTACAGCAGCTTATACGCCTATTAATGTTAAAAGTATTTGGGCACTATTTAGAAAGAAAGACAACTATTATGTTAATTTTGAGAACCCTAAGTTTAAATATCTTCAGCTTTCCATGGGAGCTTATGGAAATATGCCTGCAGAACCTGAAAATCATATGGACCTGTATTTTATGAAATGGTTGCGAACGCCTGCAATACAAACAATGATATGATTGGATTTAATGAAGATGTTATGAGGTCATTGGTGGATGATGGTAGTGTGGAACATAAATGGGATAGCTATTACAACACACATTTCTTATGTGGTTTTCCAACTGAAGTGGACTTTTGCTTCCAGCAAGGTCAAACATCTACTGCTCCAATAACATACAAATTGTCTGTTAAAGGACCTATTGAACTAGCAACTGAAAACGTACCAAAGCCACTTATTGGATTTATGAGGGATTGTTGCTTTGCAATACAAGTAAGACAGTCAGGCATACCAATAATAAGACTTGACGACTATAACTTAGCACGGACGACAGTGAGGAATAAAGGATGAACGTTTATTTTTAAAGCTTATAAATGAGTTCTTCATCAAGCTCTCGCGAACCTTCACCATCTATGAAACAAACTTTACCAAACGATTATGGAGCACCTATTGAATATTTCTTACGAGCTGCACAATGGCAAAGAGCAGTCTCACCAAGGTTAGGTGTTCCACCAGCTCCTGTCAAAAATAGCATTTGGTCAAGTCCTTATATAAAATATGGTCTCCCACTAGGTTTGCTAGCTACAGCAGGAGCAGTTATGATGTTGAAAAGAAATAAAGCAAATGTTGTAAATAATACTGAAGTAGCTGAAGTTAAACAAACTCCAACACCTTCGCCAAAACCAACGCCTTCGCCAAAACCAACGCCTTCGCCAAAACCAACGCCTTCACAAGCAAAACCTTCAATGACTCCTGAACCTATGGAAGTACAAACTCCTGTTCAAAAGTCAACTCCTAAACCGACTCCAACATTTAAACCAGAACCTACTTCTCAAATAAATCGTAAAACTCCTGCGTTTCCTTACTGAAAAATAACGTTATTTTATTTAATATTAAAATTTTTATTTGATTGAAATGACAAATAAAGTCACTGAAGCAATGAAACAAAAGTTTTTGGTAGAATACATTAAATCAGGAACTATTCCAGAAGGTTTTTACATTCATACTATGAAGGATGGTAGAGTTCAGTTTAGAAAGATAAAGCAACCATTAGATAAAGAAGGAATTTTGAGAAAGATTAAACTTCATGAGGACAACATTGCTAAACTTAGGAAGAAGTTAGAAGAGTTGGATAAAGGAAGAGAGTTATAAAGCAATGAATTCAACAGGGTAGAAATGAGGTTAGAAATGAGGTTAGATCTACCCTTCTACCCTAAATTTATTTTTGCGCTATGTTTTCATACGTGTGAGGGTGGTGATATCATTAATTTTTAAGTTTATTTTTTAAAATTATTTTTATTTTATTTTGGATGTAATGACGAAAACTATTGAGATAACAAACTACAACGGTCATGAGTTCAAGAACTTGTTCTTCGTTCCTCGTGAAAATACATTCTATCAGATACGAGGGAGAAAGGGTAAAGTTAGTTTGAGCGTTTATGACAACAAACATAATGGGAGATATATAAAAGCAATAGATACAAACGGTAAGCGTGTTTCATTAGCTTTGTCAAAACTTACTAACATTTATTTTGACAGTGATTTTGACCTATATGAAGAAGAAAGTGAGTCAGAAGATTATGAGCTGTTATGTGAAGCACAGCAATGGGAGGAGTTGCAATACTTTTGTAAGTGAGAACGTTTATTTTTACATTAGTGAAGTCGTTTGTGAAAACGTTTATTTTTTCATTAGTGAGGTGAAGTGGTTGGCGGCTTTGTAAATATTTAATGTTAAGTTAGTGTTGTCGTTTGTGTTGTAAAATATACGTTAACGGTTTTGTAAAGTGTCAAAACAGCTAAGTTTGGTAAAGTGAAACGCAGTGCCACCGTACCCAAGATATGTATACTAACTAAAGTCTATGAACATAATAACCTTTCAAACCAGGTGCCAAATTCTTGCGATTTTCGTACGGAATCTCTTCTCTCGGTTTTCCGAGGGAAGCAATCATATGAGAAAATTCTTCTAAAAGTTCTTTTGTCTGTTGGTTTTCAAACCAATGATATGCTTGCTTTGTAGAACGAAGAGCATTCATTATACTTTGCACTTGGTACATGTCATCTTTGACCGAACGAATGAGGCGAAGTTGTTTGTTATATTGTATGTATTCGTATTCTTCATTTATGGCTTCATGAACGATAGCAGTTGTTGTGTTCTCTGTTGTTGACATTACTGTCTTTATATTCCGGATAAAAAAAATATTTTATAAAAAACTAACTTTATTTTCTGACTTTCACAAAAGACCAAAAATAAACGCTTTACATGTATTTTTCAGCAACTTCGTCAAATAATTTTATAGCTTTATCTATCTCATCTACTTCAAACGTTTCTTTACCTTTCATGGGAGCACCATACATTTTCTCAAAAACTTCAAGTAGTTCTGTTTCTGCGGCTCTCATATCATTAACGAACACAACCTTGACTCTATTGACTGTACTGTCATATCTTTGAGTTATATTATATGTTCTTCCTATCTTATATCTCTTTGTATTGAAGTCCTTCGGTTTCTGAACGATATAAAGTAAGCCTTCACTGCAACGTTCTGAGTCGAATGAACCATAAGTTATGAAGTTATATCCAACCACTGGGTCTAACCATAACAAAACTATTGGTATAAGACTTTTGTCAATGAGATATGCTGTAGTTCCATAGAATCTTACCGATATCATAAGCTCAGGATTTCTTGTCAAAATTTTCTGAGTTGAAGCATTTCTAACCCAGTCGTTTGTTTTCTTTCCAGATGGAGATATAATGTCTGACAAAGAATATTTGTTGTATTTCTTTGAGTATCTTACGTTTAAATCACCTATTCTAACCACTTTGGTGTCATTGTCTATCTTTCTAACTGTTTCAAACTCAATGTTTGTCATTACTGTCTTTACATACAAAATAAAAATTTTTCTTAGAAAAAAATTAGCGTTATTTTTCTAACTAATGAAATTCATGAATTTTGTTGCTGAATTCAATAAAAATATATTTTAGGTGAAGAGGTGAGATTTCACCTCCTTTCTCACCTAATTTTTCACCCCAGTTATTTTATAAGCGTTTTACATGAATTGTACGATGTATATTTGAAATTCTAAACAATTTCGTAGCTTCTATTTCTTCTGTCAGTATGTCAAAAGTTTTAACAATGTCGAAAGTTTCTTTATACTTCTTCTTGACGTCAGATAGAAGGAAATCGTCAGCTGTTGGATAGTTTTTGTTCAGAAATGCTAACATGTCCATTTTATCTTCTGCTGGTTTCTCTACTTCTTTCTTTAAGTCAGCATAGTCGTTTCTCATACGTTCTATCTCTTTGATGGAGTAGTTATATTTCCTCATTGCTGCTTTACATTTTGAACATTGCGGATTCATTTTTGCGTTATACATTGAAATTTGACCTGCTAGAACAACTAAGGCGTCAATGGTTTTCTTTAACTCAAAAGTTGTTGGTTTTATTTGTCCATTCCATATTTTACATCTTTTATCTTTATCTCTTATCTGCCATACACATTCAGCAACTAATGAAACAAAGTTGTCGTATGTCTTAAACTCCCCAGATTTATATATGTCAGAGATGTTCTTATATACCATGTCGCAATCTTTGTTCATAACTTTATGGTTGCAATGATATCCTAGAAACTCATAGTTTACTTTACGTATGAACTTCTTATTTCTACTGAGTCAGTTGGTTTCACTTCTATTTCATCGAATTCATGAATAGTTAGTTTTTGCTGCTGAATTTCAGGCAATTTGGGTAAATGGTCAATAATGTCCTGCATGTCATAAAGATACTGTTCATTTGTTTCATCTTTCACACTACAGTCTAAATTACTTGTTAAAAGTTCTTGCTTAATTCTTTGTATTTCTGTCTCAAAAGTATATGAAGAAGGAATAAAGCTTTTCATCTCTACTAACATAGATGTAGGATTCATGACTAAAGAGTTTGGTGCTGTAGTTGTTTGAATTGTTGTTGTGCCGATTGTTGAAATCATATCTTTTATACAAAATAAAAAAATAAATAAAAATAAAACTAACTTTATTTTTCTGTCTTAAGGAAATTCATGAAAATTCACGGGGGTGAAAAAACAGGTGAAATCTCACCTCTTCACCTAAACATTATTTTTGGTGAATTCAATAAAAATAAATGGTTCATTTACTCACAATATTTTTGTACAAAACAACCCCAAGCTTTTAACTTCTTTTCTGCAGCTTCTAATGCTATCTTAGCGAGTTCATATTCTCTAAATTCTCTCTTTAAATCTTCTTGTTCCCATTGGTCTAGTTCGAATGGAGAATCGCTATAACCATAACATATCTCACGTTCATGTTCTAATTGTTTTTCGCGCATTTTTCTAACTTCTTGTTCGAACAAAGGTTTAGCATTCTCTACTGTATCTTCGAGTTCTTCTTCATCTAATTTCTCATGAACTTTCTTGTCTATGGAGTCCATAATATCTTTGACATAAAATGCATACTTTACAGAGCACCATTCAGCAACAAAATGAACGAGGTCAGGATGTATGTAAATACCTTTGAATTCATTTATAACACCCTTTGTAAGCTCATAAAATGCTTGTTTTGAGGTCGAGCCACTTTTGGCTCCACCGTATTCGTTCATCCAAAACTCAAGAATTTCCTGTATTTTAGTACTATTGAGAAATCTGTTTAAATGGTTTAACCTTCCCGCTTCTCTTGCCATCTTTGTTGCATTAATGTAACCATCCTTGTCTCTACGTAAGACTTCAATACCGTTATAAGTGCCTTTTGTGAATGTTTCACCATTAGATTTGTTCGTGAATGTTTTTGCTTCGACTGACATTTCTGTTCTTACATACAAAATAAAAAAATAAATAAAAATAAAACTAACTTTATTTTTCTATCTTAAGGAAATTCATGAGGGTGAGAAAACAGGTGAGATCTCACCTCTTCACCTAAAATATATTTTTGGTGTAAATTTATGAAAACATTAATAATACATGACTGTTCTCATTCATGTCTGATTTACATCTAATGAAAAAGTTTAGAAGAATTTTCTTATTCTTTCTGGCTTATTTTTGTCTTTCCAGTACTCCCGCTCTAATGGACCCAGATGTGTTGGCTTTGACTCTCTCAAGTTCTTAGATGGTATAACATCTTCAACGCCTCCTTCATATCTTACTATAAGTGTCATCGTTTGTGTTATAGCCAAGTATTTCAATAACCACTCCTCGCTTTGCTTCGTCAATGGTTTCAGCAAGTTTGCCATTACTACTTTCGACTAATTTATGTCGAGGGTAAAATGCAATGGAGTCGTCAGCAGCTTTTATAAGATATCCATTACCTTGCGTAGAGTCTACGATATAATAATTTCGACTTAACCTTAAACGTTTCTTTGTCAACGGTTTGTCGTCAAGAACTACACGAACTTTGTACCAGGAATGAGGGTAAATTGTGTTGAATTCTGATATTTTGTGTTTGGCTTCGTTTCTTTTGTATATACTTTTCTTCTTGTTGTTGTGTCATTGAATTTGGTGTATGTCCTGTTGTAGAATTTGTTGAGAATTATATACTTCGAGAAAGTGTTTCATTGTTTCTTCGTAAAGTCTCGCTCTTGATTTAAATCTCTGAGAGTCCTTATGAAGCGATTAATGATACCTAAAATATTATGGTTATGGTCTTCAGTAGTGTAGTGAGTTATGTTATGCTTAATGAAAATCTGTGATTTCATTGCTGAGGTATGCTGAATCCTGGTCTGATGTTAAAGTACTTGGGCTATGTTCTGCTACAAACTTTTGTAAAACTCTTAACACTTCACGAGTTCCTTTATTTTCATTATATACGCAAAAGCTTTGCGAGTGTTAACATTAATGAAGATGAGGAATGGTTTATGTCCTCCTTTTCTGCTTT